AGATTCATCGGGTTATGCCTGAAGATTCGTCGGGTTATGCCGGGGAAGTCATCGGGTTATGCCGGGAAAGGGAAAGAGGTCCCTGGGTATGTCAGGGAGGTCCACGGGTTATGCCGGGAAAGGGAAAGAGGTCCCTGGGTTATGCCAGGGAAAAGGGATAGAGTCATCGGGTTATGCCGGAAAGGGAAAGAGGTCCCTGGGTTATGCCAGGGAAATCATCGGTTTAGAAAAAAAATGCAGGAACGAATAGGGAGGAGACTTCCATTTTGGGTTGATTATTACAGCATAGCTATTTCTAACCCTTGCGTATTTCCTTTTGGCTGCACCTGCCTCTCGTAGGGTTGTACCTGCTTCCTGCTTAGTTCGTTTTGTATCGCAACTACTTCAACTTCAAACAAAGGGAAATTGTTAGTTTGAAATTGTGGTCGGTTTTGTGGCCTTCATTATATTTCTTGGTCCCAGCCTCATTTTTGTTGAGAAACTTCGCCATTGATTGGCTTAAAAAACGACCCCTTTTCAAACTGATAAGACTCAGATTTCAGGATTTCATGATGATTCGCCCGTGTAAAGCTTTGGTTCTTCCATCTCACTCTGCTTGGGGATTTGGAGGTAATCAAACGTCATGATCAGTCGGGATTGGACTGGCGCATCACCGAGGCTGGGTATTTTCTTGACTCTTGCCAGGCGGGGCCCTGTGAAACCGGTCCTGCCACCTTTTCTTTCTAGCATGTTTTGGGGCTTAGGGTTAAAACGAAAAAGAATCCAAAGAAAGGTAAATAAAGAGCGAGGAAATGAATTTGAAAGAGAAACGTCCTTTTCGGGAAAAAGAAAGACTTATCTGAGGTGCATGCTGGCTATAAATTGACATGACCTGCTTTTTGGACTGGATGCCTGATTCTCACGAACATACATTTTCTCACGAACCAAAACGGATCTATGTTTCCAAACCAGGGAAGCTTGCCAGAACCTTCTGTGGTGAAATCCTCTTTTCGGCCGACAACGCCCTTTGCGAGTTTTCGCTAGCTGACCTCTCTCATTTCTCTTCTTACCGTCGCCTTATAGTGCTCGTCATGAGTTTTCACTAACAAGACTCTCTCATTTTGATTTTCTCTGCTTGCCATCGCCTTATGGTGCCCGTAGGTTTTTACCAATAAGACTCTCTCATTTTATTTCTCTCATCCTGATTGCGTCGGATCCGAGCAACTGCGTCCTTTGATTTTGAAGAAACTTTTGCCGATTGATCGGAAGGACTTGCAACAGGTTTGGGGTCAAAAGAACTTGTATCGAATTACAACTTTGGAACCGTCCAGGCGGGATTATCGCCGAATTATTATAATGTCCGCTCCAGTTTAACTTTTTTGGGAGAATTAGATTTTGGTTTTGGTGTGACTGAACCCCATAGAGAGGTTGCCTACGTATCCTTTCGGAATCAAGTCAAACGTAGTTCAGGAAATTTTGGTTTTTTTTTTTAGATTCGCACTTCCGGGTTCCAAAGAGGGTAATGAAAGAAAGGTAAATGGCTCAAAGGGTTAGCAAAGGATTTGAGTGTTTGGGTAGCGGGAATGAAAGCCTTCGTCCTCTCAAATGTGCAAAAATATCGTCAGAGCAAGTTCAGACATAGTATCTTTTTACTGCATCTGCATTCACAGTTGTGTCGGGATCTTTTCCTTCAATATCACCTAGATATAATGCTCCCCTGGGCAATATCTTCCTGATGATGTATGGACCTTTCCAATTAGGAGCAAATTTTCCTTTCGCTTCCTGGTGATGTGGAAGAACGCGCCTTAACACCAGTTGACCTACTTCAAAATTCCTGGGTCGCACTTTCTTGTTGTAAGCATGAGCCATTCTCTGTTGGTATAACTGCCCGTGACAGACCGCAGCCATTCGCTTTTCATCGATCGTCATTAACTGTTCCAAACGGGTTTTGACCCACTCACTGTCTTCAATTTCAGCTTCAACAATGATCCGGAGAGAAGGGATTTCT